TCAGGCTAACAACATGGTCCTCCCCGACCTCTACGCTGTTACAACTACACTTAAAAGCCGAATCTGTACCAGGGAACAATCATCCTTAAATGAACCTGACCAATTCGTGTCACGGTCCTGGTCAGTGACAGTGTTTAGTCTTTTGGTTTATGGTTCTGTGTTTCTAGCTCTAGTAGTTCTTTGTTCTGGGATTTTAGTTCTTACGTTTTGTTTCTGTGTTCCCTTTGATCGGTGTCAAGTCCATGCCTCTTCCTGTTGTGTTTCCTGTTTTATTTTGATACTTCCTGTCCTGTTTGCAGTGTGTCTGCTTTTGCTTCCCTTGTCTCGTTCGGTCTAAGTTCTCCCAGCTGTGTGCCCCTCCTGTCTCCCGTTCCCTGATTACTCTGGTGTCTATTTAACCCTGTGTTTTGCTCGCCCTGTGTCATGTTGTACCCTCATATCTGTCTGTGTTCTGGCTGCTGGAGAAGCCTTGTTATGATTCCAGTCTAGTTAGTTTTCTGTTTGTTTGCCGCTGAGTTTACGTTGGCCGTCGTGAGTCCTGCACTTGGGTCCAGCCTGCCTGCCGCACCCAGACCGTGATAATTCTGCTGAGAAGGTGGACAAAACCCCGACAGAAGTCTGGTCAAGGTGCAGCTTCCTAATGAACGTTTAAACAAATATTGGCTGTACGTTCACTCTGACCCCGTTTGCTTCAGAGAGAATCCAAAATAATGAAAAATTTATTTTTTAAAAATCTATTCTTGTAAAGATTCCAGCAAAGGAAAATAAATGTTCAAAGAAATCATTAAAAGCGTAAATTTACCATGACATTCATGCCCATTACGAGTGGATGTAAACATGTGACCAGTCTCAGCGTTTGTCCACTTTCTCACAGGAAGTTTCTCTTCCTGAAAAGAAACAATTTTCTAAAAAAGTCTTTCCTGTCACTTTAATGTAAATCTGATTCTAACCTGATCTGATCCAAACCCACAAACAGTCCTTTGAGTCCCAAAGTGACCAGAGATAAAGTCCTTAGAAGGTCTAACACGATGACCCGTCCTCACAAACATGGACATTTGACCACAGACACAAAACGAGTTTTGGCTGTTGGATTCTGGTTTGGAGATGACAGAAAGATGTGCTGGAAGGACAGCATGCTGCATCCCTGTGTGTGTGTGTGTGTGTGTGTGTGTGTGTGTGTGTGTGTCGCCCACTCGACCATTCATGTGTTCAGTCACTGAGGTGAGGAGTCAGAGACGTGATAAACATGAAGGCGGTGAGGATTTCTCAGGTCCTCGTCCTGCTGTCATCCTCCCTGGCTGGACTGAAGAGTGCGCGTATTTGTTTGTACTTGTATCACAGAGTCTGTGGGGACTTAAATCTGTTGGACACATTGTGGGAGCACGTCTCGTTTTGGGGACAAAGAGCGAATCTGTATAAGTGCAGGTGCATCTTGGGATGAAGACTGGGTTTAGGGTTATCCTCCTGATGATGAATGTACACGACTGTAACGTCAACTTGATGATGAAGGCGTGACTCTGTGTGTGTGTGTGTGT